ATATGAAAAGAGATACCATGAGGCTTTTTTATAGCACAAGCTTACTTGGGTTTGTACAATCATAACCAGGAGAGAATAAAATAAAATAATTTTTAAAACACTTGTTAGCCACAAAATTAAATATGTTAAAAGATTTGATGAAGGATAACGGTGAAAATAAATGCAATCTTTTATTTAGAAATTCCATAGGGGCTTTACTTCATAGAAAATTTTAGAATATTGATCATTTTGCCAGAATATAGTCAGCATATTAAATCAAGTGTGGGTTGGAACTGTTTGTATGGCATAGTTAAATCTAGATAGAGTAGGTTACCGTTGGCATCTGTTACCCTTTTAATAGTTTGGGTAGGTCTGAGCATGTAGAACAAGCTTGGGTGGGCTCAACCAGCCTATGTGACAAAAAAGGACAATACCTCTTTGTTATGTGGCTGTTTACAAACATCAGTCAGCCCAGTGTCTTGTTGAGCCAAGTTATCACACTACTCCCTAGAAAAGTGTTATGTTTTAAATTTCACTCACACTAGAAGCGAAAAAGAGTTAAAGCAAGAACAATAACCAAATCCAACTCTCTACTTCAGAAAAAGAAACATTAAGAATACTTTTTTTCACATAACAGTAAATTTGTGATTAACTGTACATTTTTCACTGCAGACAACTGCATAAAAGACAAATCTGAGCGTACTACCTTATATACGTTTCCTACTATCGAAGAGTTCACTATAAATGGAAATCCATGTAAACATACCAACACAAAAACAAATGAAGCTAAAAATAAAAATTATCTAACAATATAAAATATTTTTAGATTTGCTATAAACCACAGTTTGGGGATTTTAGTCACAAGCATGCCTGAAGTTAGTTGCATCAAAATTCCCTTACTAAACTAAAGACATGGACTTGAACATAAATTAAGATGGACCAAAATATACACGCTGTTCCAGTGACAAGGAAATTTGAGAGTACAAAATGCTCTCGGAAGATATGACATTTATCCTAGAAATGTTTTATAGAGTCTGAAAGAACCTAGTAAACAAAAAAAAGTTACATTAAAATATAAAATTTGTTGACCAGCAATAATCGGTACTCAAGTGAAAAAGAAGCTCAGAAAGGAACTTAACAGAATACTAAGCACTCATATCACAGCATGAAAAAAAGGTTCATCCTAGAAGAGGAAAAAATGTTATGGCTAGGTAACGTACATTAAACTACCAGAATTAGCAACCACAAAAAAACTTAAACAGTACCCAACCAATAATTTTAAAAATATTATTCTAACTTTGAATTTTAATTTTTACTCTTTTTCTTGTCATGTCTTGAAATCTGCCATTTCAATATTAGATGTTTACCCTACATTCTCTAAAAGACAACTGTGTGCTTAGCACAGCACTGGGAGATAACATCTTCAGTCTCGATTACGAGATCACTCAATCAGGCCAGCTGAAGATACAGTTTTAATCCAACAGAATCAGAGTTGGGCAGGCTGAATTTTATATATCATTTGCTGTACCCACCAAAGAGAGATACTGAATCCAGTACCCACTTTAATGGTCAGCATGAGTAACTGCATGACTCAGAGGTGCAAGTAGCCATGTTCCAAAGTCCAGCCAGACTTAAGGAGAAGGGAGACCTGGGTTTAAATCGTGGATCTTACTCTTAATAGCTGTGTGATCAAGAGGAAAGTACCTAATCTAAGTCTCAGTTTTCCCACCTGCAAAATGGGAGCAATAATATCCACGTTAGAGCATTACTGTAAAGAATTAATGAGATAATATGTATAAAGCATGTGGCATGAGTGCTCCAAGTCCTGGTTTTAAACCTTGACAAAAATGCATGCACTCCAATATTATATCATCTCTATTTTAAAAAAGAAAAAAAATATATGATACAGGGATAGCAACACTGGATCCCAATATGCATCTGTTGGAAGCAGGTAGAGTGGTAACATGGGAGGGAAGGGCCACCTATTCCCATAATTTAAGGCCCTCAAATTCTAAAAAAAAAAAATGTAGGTGCACCCTTTAACTTATCACTCACTTCAATTCAACTCACTATTAGAGGATACAAAAGAAAAAAAGAATAGACATTCTTCCCACCTTCACTGAATCACAATCTAAAAGAGGTTCACACCAAGTTATGGGCAATGCTGAAATCCAAAAAGTTCTTAAAATTAAAAAAAAAAAATTTAAATTGTTTTCATATATAAATTTGGTGACAAAACCAATACTAAACTTGAACTGGCTGGAGGCTCTATATAGTCATTTTTCTTGCATTGACCATAAACATTCATGCGTTATACGTTTCATTATGTAGTGAGGTTCAAATCCCACTGGTGATGGGACATAATAGATGATGTACTGCAGTAGCTTCTGAAAATACAAAGTATTCCAAATTCTAAAACACACGTAGGCCAAGGATTTCAGAGAAGGGAATCTGAACAATTTCTGTTTAAGAAAAAAAAAAAAGGAGAATAGCTGTATAAAAGGTAAACTGCCTAAGATAGGAACTTGTAGTTAAGAACATATTTTCTATCCTACTTAAATTAGTATTTGCTTAGAACTCTTGAATATCTTATAATATGGCATCAATAACACTACTTACATCATTGAATTCTTGGAGAAGCAAGAGATAATACACACAAAATTCTTTAAACAATGCCTAGCACTAAGTAAGTACCCAATAAATGCTGTGTAATAGAAGTGCCTAAAAAAATACTTTGAACATTTACTAGGGAAAGGAAAATAGGTGAATATATAGCTCAGATAGTCTCCTATATACCATATTATATTTTGGAATTTTATTTTTTAAAAATCCAAGAGTTTTCTTTTTCCTATGCCCAGAGGTATTTCTACTATCAGGCCTCAGAGATCTTATTGGTGCAAGTCATGAAGGCAGGTAGCAATCTCAGGTGAGCAAACAAGCATTTGGAGCTGATAGAGCATAGCAAGACTTCAAGCTCTTAATGCAATAAAGATATTATTTAGAAAGAAATGAACTATAAAAGACTGTGAAGAGCAGCCTAGAGGAATGCCTCTGGAATTTAATGTACAAACTAATCAGCTAGAGTTTTTGTTAAAATGCAGATTCTGATTTCATGTGGTGGGACCAGACATGCTGCATTCAAGTTCTCAGTTAATCACCATGCTGCTGGTCTCAAGGCCCACACTGAAAGCAGGAAGGCCCCAGAGCAGTGGTCCTCAAAGTGTACAAGCAACATCAGAATCTCTTGGGAAGTTAATAGAAACGCAAACCCTAGAGCATCAGGAAACTCTTGGAGATTGTTCGTCTAAATCAGCTGTTTACATCCAGTCAGATTACTTTTCCGGAGAATAAAAGTAGAATATTTTTTAAATACTTTAAAAATAACAGTAGCATACTAGAACATGTTACCTAAATAAGAAAAATAATTTCTCTCTGCAAAGTTTCCAAAACTGTAGCCCCTGCAATTATACTTAAACTGTAGGCTTTTACATAAAAAGCCTGCTCTGATAATATATTGGCAAAGTACTGAAATGTGTAGAATCCTCAGTTGAACCACTTACCAACTTACAAAATAGATCATTTCCATTTGACCTAGGTAATAGAGATACGACTTTGTAAAGAAACCAAACTGAGTTTTATATTTCCTTGTGTTGAGAATGTAACCAACTACATCACGGTTTAGTCAACTTCTCCAAAGTAATGTTTACACATTGCCTGGCTCATATGTAAATATATGTCAACATTTTGATTTATAGCTATAGATGATCTGTTTACATACACAGTTACACAGATGCACAAATTACAGTCGATTAATGGTTTGAAACACAATATTCTTGAAGGGCAAAAAGCTTGAGGGTAAGCTACGAATATAGACTGTCATGACCAGAGGAAAGATTTCAGTTTTCTGAATGTGAAGCCAATTGATTGTTAAATAGTTTTTCCCAAAATTTTTAAATAAACTGATACATTCAGAATTCAGATTCAGTATTTCTTTTTCAACTTCAAAGTTAGCATTTAAAAGTTCATCTCTCAATCAAAACCTGAGCACATAGTTCTATCTTTAATCTATTTTCAAAGGAGTCAGTTACTAACAGATTGTAAAGCACCACACTTGCTTCAGGATTGGCATCCTGATTTTTCCTAGGACCATGTATTTTTAACATTGGTGCTGTCAGGAGACATCTTTGATGTCACACCAGGGGAAGTGGGGGAGAGAAGAGTGCTTTTGGCATCTAGTGAATATAGGCCAGGCACGCTGCTAAACAACCTACAATGCACAAAACAGTGCCCTCAACAAAGAATTACCTGGCCTAAAATGCCAACAGTGCCAAGGTTAAGAAACCCTGATTTAAATATGGAGGCTGCAAAAATACGGAATGAGTGTCCCTTGTGCATCATCATTACATTCCTAGCACAGTGTTAAGCACGATAATAAACATTTGTTGACTATTAAATAAGCTACTTCTGTATAGCTGGGATCTTAGAGTCATAGAGACAAAAAATGAATGAGAAAGTTGTTACTACACATGTAATATCTAAAATTACACAACAAAATTGTAGTTACTGTCAGAACCAAAAAGGAATTTAAAAATAACCCACTCCAGTTTCTCTATTTTGGGAAAATTTTTTTCTCATATGAAAGATGTTATCTAACGTACTGACACGACAGTGTTTGGGGGCAGTGGGGGGGTGACCAGTCCTTTTAGGAGTAATAATAAAATAAATACCTTTATAAATATATTGAAATATCATTTTCACTTCAAATAGTGTCAATGCCCCAAACTTTTCTCAAAATAATAAACTCAAGTATTTCCTTTATAAAAATTGAAACGAATGTGACATAAATCATAATAAGTGATATTTCACAAGCAGGAGACACAAAATAAAACATAATTACTTTAAAAAAAAAAAAATCACAGACCTCTGTGGCCTACAGGCATTTATACCTCTGAGAATTCTGGGATTTAAAATGTCATGAGAAATTCTGAACGGGCTTACATTTTTGAAACACAGGAACTGACAGTCACAAGGACAAACATACCCTTAATAATCGATTCAGCTGCATACAGATCTCGTTTGTAGGTCACCTAAAGGACAGATAAGCCTCATTAGACTTAACAGAGCAGGAAGGAATGTGAAAGCAATAAAATTATGCCCCCAAGGAAATTCTTGATTTTGGAGAAACTATAAACACATAATACTAACAATTTCTAAATTTTAACATCATCAGCAAATTCAGAAAAATATATTCTATTTCTACAAATGGTTGAAGATTGTTTTGAAATCTTTAAATAAATTGAGATATTATGTGGCAGTGGTTACCAAAATCTTATTAATATAACTGAAGTATTATATCAAAGATAATCTTGTAGTGTTTAAACAAAAGTATTAGCATTACTATTTAATAATAAGGTTTTATGTTGGAGGGAAGGAAGGAAAAGTATGCATAACAAAAATCACCAAACTGCATTTTTAGTTGAAATGAGATCATTATCAAAGATCAATTCACAGTAAGAAGGACTTCCTTCTGAATTGAGTATATCTGTATGCACCCAGATAAGGCTCACCTTGTAAATTTTTTACTAATATATGGCTCTAGTACCAAGACCCTAGAGGGGACCACCACGTACATACAAACAATCAAGATCTTTCCTTAAGAACAGACAGCCTTCTTGTAATTGTAGCCTGCTCCTTATAATGTAATCTCCCATGGTCCTATGGCAGATATTTCCCAGACCACATCCAATGAGCTCATTTACAGAACATGTCAGGTACATTGCATTGCAGAATTAGCTCTCCTATATCACAGAACTGGAAAGTATAGCAAATAATGAACTACATTAGTAAGTACTCTAGGGTCTTAGGAGCCCATCTTTCAAGTGCCCAGATAATTATGATAGAAATAGTCTAAAAATCCACTTTGAGAAATACTCTCTAAATTAGTACCTTTCTGAACCTACAATATGGGCTTTCTTCCCACAGATTATCTCATAACTAAACTTGCACAGAAACTTGGTTCAGCTCAAGTGGCTCAGGGCACCTCTATTCAAAGTAGATTCCCCTGAGGCTGGCTCCCTGGTGTAGTGGTTAAGTTCGGCACATTCCACTTTGGCCGCCTGAGTTCATGAGTTGGGATCCTGGGTGCGGACCTATACCACACCACTCATCAGCCACATTGTGGCAGCAACCCACATACAAAATACAGGTAGATCGCAGAGATGTTAGCTCAGGGCTAATCTTCCTCACCAAAAAAAAATGATAATAAAAAAATAAAATAGATTCCCCTGCTATGACTTTATCCTGGCTCGTAAATCCTGATCAAAAACTATACCCTACAATCTAAAATTAAAGTAGCAGCCAACTTGTAAGACAGCTGGGAAGTTGTGCAAACATTCAAGCAATCTATTTGAAAAATCAAATGTGACACGGCTGCATTATCTCTAAAACAAGCACATGCCAACCAAAACCAGGACTATAGTTACTGATCCACAACACAATTCTATTACCCTGGGAGAAAAACAGAAAACAGATATTTAAATGTTCACGCTACGAATTTTACCAAATTAAAGAATGCATCGATCTCTTTCATTCAACTAATATGTATCAAATAACTACTATGTTCCAGGTCCTGTTCTAAGTGCTGGGAATAGAGCAATGAAAAGAGTGAGCAAAACGCAACCTGTGGAAACTACGTTTTAGTGAAGAAATTTTCCTTATAAGAATCGAATAAAATAAGTTTTTTCTTTTATTTCCTTGAAAATCCAAAGTCAACTAGATATCTGAAATTAGGCCTCAATATTTGCAATTTAAATGAGAATGCTTGTTTTCTATAATAATTGTCTGCCGTGTAGGGTAAACTCAGAAGAGATATTAATGGAAAGATGCCTAATTACCATAATTCATTTTTTATTCCTTCCTGCTTTGAGGAGTAAAACTGCATTCTAAATTAAAATGGAATAATAGTGTAATTATCTTTTTTTCAAATAGATCTTAATGATGGCTTTTTAAAGTTAAAGAAAAATTGGTCTCAAATACTAAAATGCTTTGTCTAGCATACCTACAAGGCTTAACATTTCTGCATTCGAGTCAATCTTATAAATAAAATGTTTTTATTACCTAAAGGTCCTTTTTCCACTAATATTAAATAATTAACTGTATAAACAAGAATTTCCTTTATCTACTTTTTCTTGTAGGCTGTGGACACCTACTATACACAGATTAAAGCTTGATTTTTATTAATATATTCTATATGGAGTCTTATTGAATATCTCAACTACACTTCTCAACAAACACTGATTTAATGAAGAAAAACTACAAAATATTTGTGACAAACTTGTAAAGTATTGTATTTAAAAATAGCCTTATATTATTTTAAATAAAACAGCTAACATACTTCAAAAGAAATAGTACTGGAAAATGTTGTAATTCTGAATTGATGAGTTACTTTTTTTCCATCAAACTTTTACAGTAATACCGGTTGCCCTTTCCTTATTTTTAATTTTAAAAAGTTTAATAATCAGTTTTGAAGTTGATTTTCTTCTGTCAGCATGACCTGTAATTTTCCTTTGACTTTGCACAATACCTTATTATGGAAAATAGTTACTTAAAAAAAAAAAAATCAACCCTGTAGAGATTGAAGAAGTTTCACGCTGTGCTCATTAGAAGCTCGGGGCCACCTGAAGACCAAGGGGGGCACACTGTGCAGCTGAGGCTCTGGGCCCCACATCTGCCACTCACCTAGTTAAGCTCAATTTTTGTCTGTTTTGTTTGACTGTGCTTCTGTACAACATTTCATCTGGATCAAGTGTTTAGCAATATATATGCATATATATATATGCATATATATATTCAATAGAAGAGAAACCTAAAGCCGAGCCACAGAGGTAGTATGTCTCTCTCAGCTACCTCAAAGTGAGTTCCAGGGGACATTATCACACCTACTCTGTGTTGCTTTATCGGTGTTGACACTCACAATATAGTAAACTAGACTTTTCAGAGCAAAGTCCAGTTGGCCACCATCTTACATATATTAAGTTAGACTATACTTAATGTTCTCCCATCTTTTACCCATAAGAAAATGAATATGTAACTCTGATAATGAGAAGAAAGTCAGAAAATCTTAAATTTTAAAGATAAGAATGTTTATTAAATACAAATTTAGATATGGGGGCATTTATTATATTTATTTCCATTTCATCAATTATGTCTATCCAGAAAATATTTTTTCCTCCAGACTGGATAGCTAGATGAGAAACAATGTTATCACATTGTATTTTTGAGGTTAAAAAGCAAAAAGTAAGACTATTTTCTCTTTTGTTTTTAACAAAGATCCTAGAACACTTGGATCTAAAAAAAAATGTAGTTCCCATCAAAAGGAATCCTCAGAAGTTATTCATTCCAATAATATTGTGATGACTCACACACGTCAGAAACTCCTTCTAAAGAAGCATTTTCAGACAATGGAACATGGTTGTTGGATTTCTTCAATAACTGGTTATAAATTTTGTATGCCTTAAGAATGGTTTTAATATTTAGAAACAAGAAGTCTATTCAGTTAGGTCTGTATAGTGAAGTAAGTGACCAAGTATTTCAGTATAGTGGGACAAAAATATGGTACAGCTATAAATTAAGGGAATGGAAGTTCTTATGTAGACAACGTGAAATTTCACCAAAATAAGAGTGTGTTCATCAAGGCCTGGCAAAGCACAACCCCTCAGGGAAAGCATGAGAGCAGATCTCTGTTCCCAGGAGTCACTCCTGTACTCTTGTGTGGTTGGTCACTCGTGGCGGGGTGAGGGGTGGTCATTCACTGGGATGGCCTCTATCCTGCATGGTGATTTGAAAAAACTGAGGTTTCCTCCAGGCCACATAGGAGCTACTGCAGGAAGGTTGGCATTAACTCTGAATGTTTACTTTTTGCATTTTTTCTACCAAAAAGAAGTATGTAAAATACAAAATAATAGCCCTCCTGGGATTTCTGGTGGCAGTTGAAATAATAGTTCTACACGCAGTCATGAGAAATTTCTCGTCATTCCACACACCCCAGAGGTGGTGTACTCTGACCTCTGAGGGGTAGGGGAAGGTAGCCTGGCACAGAATGCTCTCATCTTACTGTTTTATGATAGTGAAATGCCTCTTGAAATGTGTTTTTCATTGTGTCAGATTTCTGAATCATGTTCCAGGTACTTGGTCCTGCCACCTGAGTCCAGTACGAATTTTAGCATAATTGTACTAAATCTTTTTTCAAATCTGAATTTTAAAAAATGGTAGCATCTTTGGAATTAGCATAGAATTAGAACACTAATTTCAAAGTGTCGATTCCATTGCTTTGGTTTAAATAGCAACTGAAATACTCTTTATCCATACAGAATGATAAGATCACAAAATTAATTAAATTAGAAGCCTATACTAAACACAACTCACACAATGTCATCAAAAGAGGCCAAATAGGGCTAAATAAACAGCTAGGAAAATATCAAAAAGAAAAAAAATGGTGGAAGATGACAAGAAACAGGAGGCAGAAGGAGGAAATAGGGAGCCTGAAACAACCACAATATTTGCACTCAAAATAATTTCACCTCAATTAATAGAAGAAATGCGGTACCTAAAAAAGACCTCATTACTGCCATTTGAAAGACTTCTTGCCCACTCCATTGTATTACACGCCCTCTTAGAATCCAAGATCCCAGTGAGGCACATCATTATTCAAACATCATTCATAGGAGTGGGGCTTCCCCCATCCCTTCCAGTTTGCAAAGTGATGCTATGAAGATGATCCCTCTGGGCCTAAGAGTGTGTCACCCTTTGGCATGTGTATTAGTTTCCTAGGGCTGCCATAACAAACTACCACAAACGAGGTGGCTTAAAACAACAGAAATTTATCTCTCACAGTCCTGGAGGCTAGAAGTAGGAAATCCAGGTACTGGCAGGACCATCCCCCTCTGAAGGCTTTAGGGAAGAATCCTTCCTGGCCTCTTCCTAGTTTCTTGTGGTTGCAGCCATCCTTGGCTTTCCTTTGCTTGTAGATGCATCACTCCAATCTCTGCCTCCATCATGATTGGCATTCTCCCTTTATCTGTGTCTGTATCTCTTCTGCCATTCTTATATGTTGGATTTAGGGTCTATTCTATGCCAGTACGATCTCATCTTAACTTGATTAGATCTGCAAAGACACTTTTCACGTAAGCTCACATTCACAGGTGCCAGGGCTTAGGACTTGAACATACCATTTGGGGGGACACAATTCAACCCACAACAGCATGTATGCAATGACTCACCGGGGGAACAAAGAGAAGTACTTGGAAAGGCCAATCACTGCCTCAGTGCACTGACATTTGTTGCACATAAAAGGGAAGCAGATGGGCTGGCCCCGTGGCTTAGCAGTTAAATGCTCGCGCTCCGCTACTGGCTGCCTGGGTTCGGATCCCGGGCACGCAGCGACGCACTGCTTGTCCGGCCACGCTGAGGCCGTGTCCCACATACAGCAACTAGAAGGATGTGCAACTATGACATACAACTATCTACTGGGGCTTTGGAGAAAAAAAGGAGGAGGATTGGCAATATATGTTAGCTCAGAGCCAGTCTTCCTCAGCAAAAAGAGGAGGATTAGCATGGATGTTAGCTCGGGGCTGATCTTCCTCACACAA